AGAGATTGGCCGGGCGCGGTGGCTCAAGCCTGTAATCCCAGCACTTTGGGAGGCTGAGGCGGGTGGGTCACGAGGTCAAGAGATCGAGACCATCCTGATCAACATGGTGAAACCCCGTCTCTACTAAAAATACAAAAAAAAAAATTAGCTGGGCATGGTGGCGTGTGCCTGTAATCCCAGCGACTCAGGAGGCTGAGGCAGGAGAATTGCCTGAAGCCAGGAGGTGGAGGTTGCGGTGAGCCGAGATCGGGCCATTGCACTCCAGCTTGGGTAACAAGAGCGAAACTCCGTCTCAAAAAAAAAAAAAAAGAGAAAGAGATTAATAAGCAAAAACAAACTTTCACACTGTGGACAAGAAGACCAGTAGCAGTTAACTTGCTCAGAGGCAAAGCAGGCAACTTTTGCTGGGATAAAGAAGAGCCATATAGAAGGATATGGATCTGTTTTCCTCACAAAATTTTAAGCAGCCATCTCTTCATAGAAACAAGGTAAAAGAAGCCTATCTAATGGCTGTACGAAAAGGAGGGTTTATCTTAGCATACTCTATGAAGGCATGAATTTGTGTGTAGGGAAGTTGCTATTTCGTATGACGCCTTTATACAAATTAGAAAAAGACACAGTTCCTCTAGGCAATCTACAGCTCAGAGAACTTTATTTGGCAGGGTATTAAATGGTATACAGTAACCCTCTGTCTGTTAGATAATAACACTTAGTAGCTAACCCTTAATGGAGTGCTATTTTCTGTTCTACACACTTTATTTGTATTAACTCGTTTAATCTGCTCAAAAAGCCAAACGACCCTCTTCCATTATGAATAAATACTGGCAGTGGGAGAAATCACCCCTTCTAATTTTTCACTTCCACACCAAAAAATACAGGACAAACTTCAGAGAGTCCTGAATCCTCTGAAATTACATATAAAACTCTCTATATACATACGTGTATTTCTTTTCCAAAAGATGGTAAATCTTTTTAAACTCCTAGAGGAATCTGAAATGACTCAGAACCATAGGCACCATGCTTCCTAATCATTTTGCTATCCAAGGTACCTTTTCTCCAACCCCACCCCTCCTCCCCCATTTTGGAAAGATGTCCAAACAATCTGCAGTCTCATAATAATTTCATTTTCTCATTTTTAGTAATCAGATATGTAGATCTGCCAAACAGAATTTCAAATAAAACAAAAAACGACTGTTACTAGCCTTGGTTTAGAACTTCCAATATTTTACATTGGACAGAATATATTACATGTCTATAATATAGAGTTGGAAAGATCTGGATTTGTAAAATCAGCTTCCTTTCTCAACTCCATTAGCTTAAGTCCAAAGCAACTGATTGAAGGTAAATATATGACTGTCATTAGGTTTTTAGAAATGCTGAAAATACCTTGAGAACTACCATTACTCTACTGATTGTTAAACATAATTGTTTAAGTTATTTGAGGAAAGCACCATGTGCTAGGCCCAATGCCAAGTACTACGGATACAGAAAAAACAATCATTCAGGACTTCCAGATGTCTAGGGAATCCAGACTGGAACCAGTGACTTAGGCAAAGGCTAAGGGCACTTGGAGGAATATAAAAAAGATCCCCTGTAGAGATCACAGGAAATTTAGGGAGGCCCACAACAGAAGCTGGGATGCCTGTATTTTCAAACCTCCTTCACTAAACAGTGGGCAAAAAAAACAAAATTTGAGGAGCTTTTCTACTGCACAAATGCCATACAAAAGAAAATACAAATCAGGGGTTTTGTGTATGTGAATTAAATAAATTTAAGATCCTTCCTGAAACTTTATTAAAAGAAAATTTAGAGAAGAAAATAGTACTTTCACAC